TGCTCCTTTGCAGTCAAGGTTGCCTTTTCTTGGCGTTAGCTTTACACGTTCAGCCTGAAAGGCAGTATGGTACCACTGAAAACACCCGCGTGTGGCAAGACAGCGTGCAAGAAAAATCTCGTAACATTACATCCATCATAATGACGGCTAGGTTGCTCGTTGGTGATGCAATGTCGCAAATCAGGAGCACGGTGAGGGGACGACGCGAAATCCTCGCATATCTGTTGTGGATCAACATAGGTCCTTCCGTGTGCAAAATTCCCAATCATGGTTCGCTGAGTGTTCAAGAACTGGAAAGCATTCTGTATATCTACCTTGGATTCCAGCTTCGAGAACCAAACGTCCTTCGCCCTTCTCAGCCCAACTCAAACGCCCAGAACCGAAGATGGACGCAGCGAACAACACAGGCATCACGTATGCAGAGACTGCGTGGACCGGAGTATAAGTCCTTGCTTGAAGCCGAGCAGTTAGTCCCCGAACATCCGTTGTTTCAGAATGATTTCTTCGAGGACAAGTGCGAGATGGCAAAGAACAGAACGAAGCAAAGGTCATTTAGGATATCGCAAGACTCATCGTCCCTTCCGCGCAGTCATTGGCGGTTTAAGGGGCGAAGCATTTGAGGTGTCTTCTAGAGAGCATCAACATGAGCTGGAACGTTGTTTAGAAGTAAGTCAGCTTTACACCACTAGATATGTAATCAGGCGTAGGGCGATAGTTCGGTAGCACTGAAGCTAGATGACAAGTATCGTGATGGCATCTCAGGGCGCGGTGATGTGCTGCAAACGGGCGTAACCTCTGACAATGTTGTGAAAGTTTGATAACGTTGCTGCTGTTGCCTTCGTCCCCACTCAGTTGGTGGCGCATCCAAAGTACTGCTACATGGTCAACAAGTTCAGGTGCTGCCGCAAATCCCCACTCTTGGTTACACATTGTCCCGTAATCCTCCGAGGAACGTGGTATGTCCCCTCATTAACTGTTGACGGAGCGCCGTTCACAGAATAGCTTATGACGTTGATGATCGCTGTTCGATCGGTAGCCACGTCGGAGGCAAGTTCGGGCCAGGATCTTGCTACTTCGGTAGACTGGTGATCTCGCAGACGTGTACTCAGTTTTGTTTCAAACTTGAGGTCCATGGTGCGTGCAGCGCATATCCCGGAACTAAACTGACAACACCAATGACGCGCAAGAACCGCTGCCCGGAGCCCTCCAAAAGTTCAACAGCAGACAGTTGTGGATCTTGGGCTGTAGATTAACATGCCTGTTCCGGGGTGTGTTTGCTCCAGCCCTGTGCCGCTAATAGACTTGGCACCGAACAATGAATTGTGGCGTCCTGAGATGAGTCGCACAAGGCGAAATCTCCACGAGTATTGTCTCCTACATGCAATAGTCGAAAGATCCGTGCTGGGCTATTTGTTGGGTAACTTACAGGCTCAATTCAAGTTACCCTCGGATATAATTGTACCTTATTTTCTTTCAGATGCTGATCCGCCCAAGTTCGTGGAGCCAGCTATTCGTCGCGAATGTTCCAGCGCCACATCCGGTTTGACATCACCCAACTCCTCTGTAGGTTCGCACCTCTTCAACTTGGAAAAAAGAATTTTCCTTCAACACCTTGTCTCCTAGCAAATCTACTTCGGCCGGTACTCCAATTATCAGCATGGCTCATATCGAACCAAATTCGACGAAAACTAAAGACAACATGATAGACTTTGAACTTTGGAAAGAAGGACAACATGCAGGAACGAAGTCCCATTCAACTCAGTTCAGTCTTTTGCGACAACGACAACATTGCCATAATAATCATCAGATGCAGCGAAAAACTGGAAAGGAAGCCAATCACATAAAGGCAAAATTGAGCAAACTATAACGGCTGAGGATTTTGACCACAAAATAAAAAGGATTCGGCAAAGCCACCTGCTTGGCAGATCGTGATGTGTGAGCGCTATGGTACGAATGTCCAAAAGGTATCAACGTCACATTCATGATTGAGCCAAGAGCCTCGCAACTTGTATAGCGGACAAGGACGGGACTGTCGTATCTATCTTGGGATATCGTGCTGTCGGTAAGCGGTGACTCTTTGGGGTAGTAAAGTTCGCCAATTGAATATGGATTGAGTTTCTCTTTTCCTGTGACAACGGTGACCGATATTTGTGTTGTTGGAAATTACGGATCGATTACGGAAGAAGCTACGGTCTACTACCCCGCTCATCAGGAAGCAGCCACCCTGGTAATAGCACGGAGCACTGGTATCCCGAGAGTGCGTGTCCACTCGAGCCGAGAACGTTAGCTTCCGGGGAGTCGTGGATCTTCTCCCTTCCGAGTAGCAAATCCATTGCCCCATTACATGCTCGAGTAATGCATTGCTAAACAAGTATTCGCGACTTTTGTCGAGTCTGATTCGGTAATGGCTGTGGAAATACCCATGTATGGTGAATTCAATATAATTCGTCAGCGCCTGATAAAACCCATCACCACCGAAGGAAGTCTTGCCCAATGAACTGCTTTCGGAGAAAGGATACGTCACTGCGCACCTCATTGGCTTATTTCAACTTCGACCAAACCCTCCCAACCCCTGCTACAGTGCCGTCGCCGGAAAGCGCTAAGCACTAGATGGAGGACCAATTGATCGCACGGAGGACGGACTCCTTGGGCGACTCGTAAACAAGGCCGGGATCTGGCATTTTGAGCAATTCTGTGCCGCAGCGCATCTGCTCAGGTTCTCAGCAGGCCAGCTTGCGAATGAAGTACGAAGCGTAATTTTACCCAAAGTTGGTCGCAAGCTGGTTTAGTTCTGCAGCTGGTCAAAATCATTCCTTTGAAATGGAAAGCTGGGGAAAACTATCCACGTATAATCCAAGCCAAGCCTAAGCTATCTTGCTCTTACACTCCCATGTCCATAGACCTAGCTCGTTCCTCTCCCGCTCTGAAAACTTCGAGGGCGCGGAGGTATGCCTGGTTGAGTAGTCCCGGAAGAGTAATCCGTGCCCCTTATCCAAGTGCGCCAGATTCAATTTGTGAGTTTTACGCGGGGTAGTGAACCCCTAAACCAGCGCAACTGGCCCACGCCAGTGCGGACAACGTATTTGACCCAAGTATTGGCTGCTCGGGTTTATTCTACTGAAGATTATACCACCGAGCCATAAACGATCAGTACACAGCTTCTAGCTTCTTCATTATAATTATGGTTCGACAGTAGCGTAACCACAGCTTGCTATCCTCATTACCTGGGTGGCAGTGGAGACAGCACTTCAGGCTTAGCGAATAATGGTCGACATTTCCGCGGAAACCTTAAAGTTGTGATAATACTGGAGCACCGTCGGAAATGAAATACGGATGTGTTCTTGAGGAGCACTCTCTCTCTAGGGAATCCGGTTCTCCTTTGACAGATTGCATTTCAGAGCTTTGTCTGCTCTCAAATTTGTGCTCTGTGCAATAGAATTTGATACTGTAGAATATTGACTGCTATTGTAAGAAAACTTTTTAACCTAGTCTGTGCTTATCTATCATCCATCGAAAAAAAGTGCTCATTAGAATGCGAACGAGCATTGGAGCCGGCCCCGTGGCAGCTCAGCCAACGCTATTCGAGCGCGAGACTCAAACCTCCCGATCAAGTCAAGAAGGGTTTGATCTGAATTGTCTTTCCTTTAGTCTGGAACTACACAGACAACTCTGGAATACTTTTGGTAAGGCGTAGTTCTTTTACCATAAATCCTCCTCCATTGACAGAATCTAGTTGATGAGCGAGCTTGGGGTCGAGATCTTCCAGTCCGAAAGTCTTATGGACTCGCGATTAAGTCGGAGAAGTACACCGACGAGTCACTCCTTCTTGACTACCGCCTTGAAGAAACACAGTGCTGTTCGTGTATAGCAACCTCATCGCAGGCTTTTAGTATGGCTATTATTCAAGAATGCAATACACGGGCGCAAACAGAGCGGACAATTTCCCACTGTGACCCCTTGCGGGAAAGATTTGTCGTTTGTCTCATGGCCAAAATTGAGATTCAACGACGACTCCTGTGGGCTAGCGACCTCCTTGCAGCGCACCCTGAAGATTGTGTGGCGTTTTGCTCTGGATGTGCCCAATTCAGGGAAGCAATCGGATCTGACCACGGTTCAAAGTAGTGAAAACAACTTTCCACCGTGGAGAAGCACAACACGGTCAAATCTTTTGGTAGAAATGCGAATTTTTTTGCGGCAGTTACCGTGGAAATCTCCTCCATTAATGCGATCTTTCTTGCACGTGGTGGCAGTCTGAGAGCACCCCATGGAGCCAGAATCACAATAACTGGGGGTTAATCATGTCAGCTCGGTCATGCAGAAGCAGGCTGTGTATAAGTGGCGTCATCAACATCGTAGTCCACTGAGCGAAATCAGGAAAACGCCAGGCATAACCTGACCTTGCCTTTCTGATGGCAAGCAGATGCCAAGAGCCAATAAAAAGTGCTTAGCTTGGCTTCGGCTCTTAGGACAGGCAACGAACTGCTTCGATGTAGGATGTTTTGCCCGGCCTTCGGTGCCGCTATTGCAAGTCCACGAATGAAAAGCGAGGTTCGGATTTTTGTTCCTTCTGCTCAACCTTCAGCATGCATGTGCGTGGGCGATTAAAGAGTGCGATCGGGATTGGTGGTTGTCTGCAAGGTAGCATTTTGAATCATTGGATGTGGCATGAACCACAGGGGAATATCCACGTCATTGGCTGATGATGGCGCTACTACAACCGGTATTGTCTGTGACAACGGAAGGGGAACCATTTGAGGCAATGGTTGTCTCTGGACGTTGAGCTTAGGTTGAAGGTCTGCATGCCAAGACACAATGCAAACAGGCCAATGATGCTGGAAAGGTCCGTGGGAAAGCGGGCTACAGGCCGGGGACCTAGAATACCGTGCAGCGCGAGCAGGGTCCCCACCCAGGGGGTGTCATAATAATTCGTGAACCACCCGATAATTAGCCGATATTTGATTTATGCAACAACAACCACTCATACATTTCCAGCCCTCATTATGGCTCCACAAACACGCGCAAAGTACCATCGAGGGACTCCTCCTATTACTTTACAGGCTAAAGAAGCCGATACTCTCAAAAAAACGCGCTTTTTTGATGCCTTTGATGCCCAAACTGCGGATCTAAAAATACGTCCAATTGCACGTGCAACAGGAATACCATATCCAACAGCGCGTCGATGGCTACGGCAACGACGCCAACTAGGCTCCTCTGCCTATAGACATACTCGCCAGTTATCTACGCACCTAGGGAGACCCTCTTCCGTTACTGAAAATGAAATCCGAGCTCTCCTACAGGCTCCGCAGGAGGTGCGATTACAACCATTAGCCGCGCAGCTTACAATTTATAATATAAACCTCAGTGTACGCCAAGCTCAATGGAAAATTAAGGAATACTCCAAAAATGCTCAAAAATATAAGGCTGCCTATTTTAAGGACGATTTAAGCCCTCAAAATGAGCTCGATCGTACAGAATACGGTACGATTCAAAGTGGGAAAAGTATGGAAGATTTCTGGTGGTGGATCCTCTTTACAGACGAGTTTCATTATAATCCAAGTCTCCTTGGTGATCCAATGATCCTCCGTGACGAGGAGACACGTTACGAGGACGAGAATATCGTCTCTAGGCCTCCTAAAGGAGCCTCCTTTACTCTTCACGGGGCAGGATGGGTTGGCTGGTTTGCACAGTGTGAGGAGCTTATATTCTGGCATGACACTAAGGCGGAAAAGGTCACAAAGGAGCAAATAAAGGAGCTAAAGAGGCTCCTCAAGGAAAAAACTCCTCGTCGCCCTCAAAACCTCGTCGGAGTAAATTCGAGTCGTCTCAACTATGGCAGGATAGAATGGATCAATATGGTAAGGATATATGTGAATGGCAACTCTCCTGCCCTCAACCAGTAATTTCAGAGCCAAAAGGTAATTCAATGACCGAGGCTTACTGTACAAAGCATCTCTTACCGATCTATATCGCTGCGATCGAGTCTCTACAGAAAACTTATCATCATCCCTTTTACCTTTAGGAGGACGGCGATTCATCACACGGCACTCGTACTAAAGGCCTTGCCACTCAGTTAAGACAGCGTCACGGCATTCGTACGCACTGGCATCCTGCTTATTCACCTGATTTAAGCCCTGTTGAGGCGGCGTGGAATATCCTAAAGCAAAGGTTACGGCAAATCCCTGGTGTCAATCAAATGGATTATAAGTCGCTCGTAAAACTAGCTCAGGAGATTTGGAAAGGTATTACGATGGAGGAGATACGGGAAAGGATATCTGACATGCCTAGGCGATGTGAATTACTAGTAAAAACAGGCGGTAAACGCATAAAGGGTGAGGATTGGTAGTCGGTAGGTATCAAAATGCATATCTCGTAAATCGGCTAATTATCGGGTTGTTCACGAATTATGACACCCCCTGGGTGGTCCCCACATCGTACGTTCGATTACGTGATGGGTTGTTTCACGATCGGAAATGGGTTCCGGGGGCTAACAGTTAATTCTGTCCGGTAGGTACTTTAGTTCGAACTTCAAACTGTACTGGAAGTGGATAGGACTAAGTTTGCTCTGGGCTAACCATTTATCTGTATGCTTTAGCTGACGCTATTATGTGTTCATTAGTCGTGTCGTAGTTGACTCCCATGCCTTGCTAACTTTCCAGCGCAATGAAGGGATCTATCCTCTCTCGACGTTCCTTTACTATGATATGGCAACGCCTGCAAAGAATTTCAAGACGAGCTGCTCAAATGCTCATCGCGGTCTGACAATTGTCGGGTGAGCTTTCGCGACTGGGCGAAGCTAAGGTATATGGGAGATGATATTGATAGTTTTAGGCGACTCTTGGCAGGGTACAAGCTGACCATCACCATCGCTCTGACTGATGCAACGCTGTGGGTTGATGATTCAGTTAAATTTATACATTCCCGTCCACACCTTTTACCCGTTTGTTCAGATGGCAACCTCATGTGCCCTGCACGCTATGTCTAATGCCTGTATGAACGGAAAAGGCGTGATTATTAGCAGGTGATGTGCACTCGCAAGTACCAACGTCCAGAATGCTTGGAAAGAGTCGTTGTTGATTCGAGGACTGTTGAAAGGGAGGAGAATGATATAGCCTGACATACCAATTGCCACCTGATGATTAAGACATTATCATATCATGCAAATTGCTTGTCCCCGTGCTCGGAGATTTCCATAATTATCGAGGAGTCGGAAGTCTTTTCATCATATTGACAGCATCCGTGGACATCTGATCGCTGTACTTACAGAGTCACCTTCGACACAAAATGTGGTTGCCGCAATGGAGTGTCAGAAAGTAAGTGCTAGCATGACACTCCGCAGGTGTTAACCACAGAAACCCTGTTTTTCTTCCGAGGCCCAGGCGTAAAAGAGTTTGGCTGGAAGAATGAGGTAGGTGGTGCCATCATCCTTTTCTAGGGGTACAGGGTTTATCTATTTAGCCTTAATCCGTAATGTCGATAGTGTCATGACTAGGTATCCCCCAACACGACATGATTCAAGTGACTAACTCAAAGCAAAACCCGTCTGGTCAGACCCGATTGCCTGGTCTCGTCGTCCCCCGGTCAATGCAAGATTGGTATATCCCCGGATTGATCCACAAGCAAGGACGCATTGGCTTTGTTTCACGATCCGGAACTTTGAGGTGGTTAATCAAATCACACAAGCTGGTCTTGGACAGTCCTTGGTCATTGGAGTTGGAGGTGACCCCTTTGCTGGAACCAGCTTTATTGACTCTCTACAAGCTTTCCTCGCCGACGAAGAAACGGGAGGCATCATCATGATTGCAGTGCTGAGGGGGATGCAGCCGACTTTTTGAAGAGCGAAAACAAGAAGAACAAGTCCATTGTGAGCTGTATCGCCGGTATCAGTGCGCCACCTGGACGAAGAATGGGTCATGCAGGTGCAATTGTCAGTGGAGGCAAGGGTGGTGCTGACTCGAAGATCTCGGCCCTGGAAGCTGCGGGTGTGGTGGTTCAATGAAGCCCGGCATTGCTGGGCAACTCGCTGTATGAACAATTTGTGAGCCGCGATTTGCTGTAGGTTGTCATTGTAGAGGTCGTTTGTGCGCTGCGTCACTTTGTTCACAGGACATGAAAGCTCCTGGATGCTCGATATGGGGTAGACTTTGCGTTGTACACGTGTAAATGGTCCGTAGCGCCAACGTCATATGCATCCCAAAACATAAGTCACCCACGCATTCATACTTTTACCAGCTCGTTATCTTGTGTCTTTCGTTGACGATCACCGCAAAGATATTTGTCCCCTTCGGCTGGCTCGGACGGCCACGCTTGAAATCCACAGAACACCATAAAGCCGGCATGTATCTATGAAATAGTTGGGATGAGGAAGTCACCAACACGAAGGGGAAGAACTCACAGCGACCGCAATAAAATAGAACCACCTACCGCTACAGGATTCTCTGGGTCTTCTACCATACCCATCATCCTATTGTGATCTCGCTGCACAAATCAGTCTCCTAACAACTCCTCAGCGGAGAAAGTCGACACGTACCGCAAGTAGACTACCTATGACGCTCAATATTACAATGGCCAAGGCCGAGATGACGGTGCTAGAGACCAGTTGCCTCATCTCTTGCACACGGATGTGAGTTTTGCTAGCCAAAACCAGGCATTGGAGGCGGAGACCACGGGCTTCATGTTGAGCGATTGCTCATGGAAGAGCGAGATATCGCGACGAGAGGGGCAGAAGGGGAGGTGGGCTCGACGATAGCAGCGAACAACATGATGAGAGAGGGAAAGAGGTGCCTATGGTGTGGACTGTGGCAGCTCGTTGGCTGCATTCAGAGACGTGTTGTGTTGAACGAACGAAGAGATCCGAAGATGATGCAGGAGTCTGATCAGTTGAGGTACTTGAGAGTCGAAGGACAGTGTTGAGTCGAGGAAGTGGCAGGCAAGCGCAGTTGAAGATGCAAGTTGAAGACGTCAGTCGTAGATGGCAACCGGCCAATCACAGCAAGGGTTTGGGGCAAAGCTGGTTGAGCCACAGCCAGGGGAGCCCGAGGTAAACGTTACTTGAGGGTCGTTCTTTCCGGCCCGATCAACACCTCCTGCCTCCTGACTCTTACCTCATGCATCCATTCACATTCTAGCACGGCCAGCTGATTCAGTCATAGGACTCTCTGGTAGTACTGATCTCATTGCTTGATCCAATTCAATTGCTCCACTTAAGCAGCCCATTCATTTACACTACCCATAAGAAATCCCCACGTTTCACCTGGCGAGGCCAGTCACTCATCCACATCAACCTAAATACTAAAGTCATCGGCTTCCTTGTTCCACACTCTAGCTTAAGTAGACTGGTTCGGACTACAACAATTACCCAACCCTCTATCTCAGGACTCTTATTCATGCACCGAAGTCATCCAGCTCTTGACATCGATGAACAGTCACCGCTCATTGGCGCCGAGAACGCCTTTGAAAATGGCGATGTCGACGAAAGACCGTTATCAGGGGCTATTGACCTAGAGGATTCCTTTGTCGAGTCGAAAAGCTCGTGGTATTTAGTCCTTCTCACCCTTCCATTGGAGGTCTGCAGATTGTCTGGTCTGTCGAACTATCCAATGGCTCGCCCTACTTATTATCGCTCGGCATGAGCAAGGCTCTCGTCGCATTTGTCTGGCTTGCAGGACCACTGACTGGAGTTTTCGTCCAACCTTATATTGGAATTCTCAGTGATCGATCGCGAATTTCCTGGGGAAAACGCAAACCTTTTATGGTAGCTGGCGCACTAGGCACCGTAGTGGCCTCCATCACCGTTTCCTATGCCAGAGATATCATACGTGTGATTGGTGGTCTAGCCAAAGACGCACATTATGATGGATGTTATAAAACTGCCACCATCATTCTGGCCACCATCATGATGTGGTGTCTAGACTTCGCCATCAATGCTGGTCCGTCTATCTTGACATTCAGATCTGTTCTTGCTAATGTTTCCTAGTTCAAGCCGCAATCCGTGCTTTCATAGTCGACAATGCTCCGTCACACCAACAGGAATCTGCTAATGCATGGGCTTCTCGAATGACTGGGGTCGGCAATGTCCTTGGCTACATTTTTGGCTATCTCAATCTGCCTCAATACATGTCGTTCTTTGGCAACACTCAATTCAAGGTTTTGTGCGTCATTGCTTCCATCGCTATGAGCTTTACAGTCTTGATCAGCGTTCTGTCCATCAAAGAGCGCAACCCGCAGTTGGATCCACCCTCCAGATCCGACCACAGGTCATCTGGCATCCTGACCTTCTTCAAGGATGTTTTCTTGTCCATCAAGAGGCTTCCTCCAGAAACAAAGACAGTGTGCAAAATCCAATTCTTCCACTGGATGGGCTGGTTCCCATTCCTCTTCTACATTACCACTTACATCGGACAACTATACGTCAATCCTTACCTGAAGACAGGGCTGTCTGATCTCGAGGTCAATCAGCTGTGGAACAAGGCCACTCGAATTGGGACTTTAGCTTTGCTGATTTACGCAATCACCTCTTTTGTTTCGAATTTGATTCTTCCTTTCTTGGTTGTTCCAACTTATGTTGCTCAGACGCCCCATTTTTCGAGTGAAATCACCCGACCCTTATCACCAAGCTCACCGATTGGGGTAAGAGTAAGGACAGCGTCGTGGGGGGAGCTCGCCATGGCAAATAATCGGACTCTTTCGACGAGTTCCAATTCACACCTTACCCAAGGCAGTTCTTTCAAACCCCCAAATCTGCTTAATAGCTGGTTGGAACGGCTCCAAATTCCTGGATTGACGCTACGGCGGGCTTGGTTACTCTCACAGCTGCTATTCTCGTTATGCACTTTCAGCACTTTCTTCATCTCGACTCCACAGGCAGCCACTGTGATGACTGGAGTGATTGGCATCACTTGGTCCTTGACACTCTGGGCACCTTTCGCCCTGATTTCCGCTGAATTAGCTCGGCGGGACGAAAGAAGACGTCGACGAGACCGAGAAAGACTGATGAATGACCCAGATGAAGAAGATGCTGAAGGGGAGGACGAGGGGGATGACAGAGCCGGAATCATCCTCGGTATTCACAACGTTGCAGTCAGCAGTCCTCAAGTTCTCGCCACCATTGTTTGCAGCCTTGTGTTCAAATTGCTTCAGAAGCCGAGAAACGTGCCGGGCGACGTTAGTGTCGGCTGGACATTAAGATTGGGTGGTCTTGCAACTTTGATATCGGCCTTCATGACGTGGAGGATGAAAGGGGTTGGTGATGAGGATCTAAAAAAGTGAGAGCAACACCCAATGAAGCGAACATCGCGCAGTGGATCAATCAAAGCCAGCGAAGGTTCTTGTATTCACTCCAGTCATGGGTAAAGACAACGCGTCTAAGACCGGCCTCCCAGCTAATTTCCTCTGGGGATTTGCCACTGCAGCGTAAGTTCTTATGCTGCACTCGAATTAAACCCTGCACTTTTGCGTTCGAGGCGGACACGATTTTTCCACGTATCAGACAGAAGGTCGTGCTACTGCAGATGGTCGTGCTCCTTCGATAGGGGATACTTTCTGCAATAGCCCTGGCAAGATCACCGATGGAAGCTCTGGAGATGTCGCCTGTGATTCTTATCATCGAACAGATCAGGATATCGAATTAATGAGCATATCATCCCACTAGGTTGTCAGGGGGGTCAGGAAGGCCTCTCCCGTCCACACCTAGTTCTCGGCACATCGAACCACCAAAGTCGCAA